TTAAAATTTCGTCGGAACGAAGTTACGGAAAAATCAATTAACAAACGGAGACGTAACAATATTATAACATTAAGAATATGCAAAAGCATGTTAGTTGGATAGCATATCATTTATGTTTTTTGATTTTATATAATTTTATAAACTCATCATATTCACGTCATTTGGCGAATTGCTGTTTAAAGTTTTGTCAGAACGAAACTTTTATTTGCACAGTTGTGTTTTGTATTTAACGTAAAAAACAAAACAAATTGTATAGTGCATTGTTAAACGATAAAAATTCGTCCTTTTACTATACACTTTACTTTGAATATTGCATTTATATTTCTTTCTGTAAGGTAAAAATAAAAATTTTGTATTTTATATTTTACCCCGCGTAGGGCCGTGTCGTTGTAGTACACTAAGAATAGACCCATTAACTACAGCCTTGTCGAAATTAACGTGCGTAAAGCTAGGTAAGATTAGTTTATACTTTACGAATACGAATCGTATCAAAGATACATATTTAATGTCCAATAAAACTTTTTGTTTTTCTCAAAGCTACCCAGTACTAGGAATTATTAGACATGTAAATTTAAAACTTTTTGTCATTTGTGTGAAACGCGCTAAGACTAAACCAGTTTACATACGATTAGGCTTAATACGTATTAGGCTTAATACGTTACATAAAAACTCGTTACACCTAGGCTATAGTAAACTGTAAAGGGCCAGGTGTATTTTATTTGGCCCACCATGTAAATGAGAAGCAAAACAGCTGGCAAACACGGCATCGTGCAAGCTTTTATTTGCTCTGCTCCTTATTCAGGCATTTAAGTTCATACATCAATTTATTTGCTTTGTATTTAAGGGGTTAAACTAAAGCATGTTGAGCTAGTTATTTCACTGTGAGTGTGATTCAGTGTGAATATCTAAAGAGAGACATCCCCCTCTTCAAGTGGTGTGTGTAAATAGCATGGTTAAAAAAAAAGAAAATTTGGGATAAGCAACTTGCAAACATGGCACATATATCAATTTATTTATCACGTTAGAAACAGAATGATTAGTCTTGCATTTAAGGGGTTAAGTCATGTTGGCCACTGTGAATATCAGAAGAGGGAAATCCCCTCTGGAACTTGTCCCAAAAGTATTTTAGGGTCAAAACATTTAACTTCCTCATCGCATTACAAAAAATGATTCAGATTGTTGATCATTCTGGATCTGAGATGGATTTTCTGAGTCTGAGAAGGTGAAATTTGACTATCCGATATAAATGCATGTAATCTTGAAAAGGAGCATTGGGGCACGGGTATACAATCCCTCAGATTGCTCTTGTTTTAATTGTAAAATACAAGATATGTTCACTTCGTTTATCTCTTGCCATATTACATCATTTCAACCTCCCTTCTTTGCAGCATTAGTATGTCTCATTCTTCCACCAAAAGACTTAATGTGAAATGTGATGGACAACTGTCTGTCGCACCAACATTTTCAGCTTTTCTAACTGTAACATTCATTGCAATGTTTCTTTTTTGGAAATAGTTTGCAGATGCAGGCATTGATTTCGTGTCCATGGTGTCTAAGTTTGATTTGGTCACATGTGGTTTGACATTTTTCATGATTTTTTCCCTTGTTCAGTTAGTCGGGAGTAGATTGCAGGTCGCATTGAATGTCACATTTCTAAATGTCTAAAGGTTCATCCTGTCACCCAAGTTTTTCCACACAATCTCGCGGTTTTCCAGCCAGTACTTTTGTAGCCAACATAAGTATGGTGAAACCACTCTTTACACTGATTAACTGCATATGATTCATCAGGGTTTTTTCTGTCTGCATAAACAGCGAAGTAAGTATCTTCATTAGGAATTCATAAGAATTCAACAGCTTTTTGACCTCCCATGTTATCAGCAAAGGGATGTCCTCCAGATGTGGGAATCCATGGCCTTAAGTTGTGGTTTTTGAATGTATTTTCTTGAAGGTCTTCATGCCTAATAGATCTGATAAAATCATTTTCTATCTGAAAATTAATTTTTATGAAACTGAGATGCTATTTTACCCTGTAATGAACTTTCTCTATGATAGCCTTCTTGGTCTAATACAAATAAAGTTTGATGAAAAATCTTGATTATTGTTGTTGTTTTTTCTCTTTTTTTTTTTGAAAAAGGTTTCCGAGATATTTTGTGAAAGCGTTAACAGATTCTACATCCAAACCACAATCTAATGAACTTATGAATTATATTTTTTGTAACATAGGCCTACTACTACTACCACTATCAGTAATAGTAACTGTGGCTTTATAAGAAAGGGTGCATAAGAAGCCAACGTCAGCTTCACCAAGTTTTTCATGTGTTTATAAAAAGAGGTAAACATTTAAAACACATCTTTGCAAAAAATATATACTGATTACTGTCAAAATATTTTCTTCCAAATTTCTTCAATTTTTTCTACATACAATTTTACATATTTCGTAATTAAGTATGCATTATACATAACTGTAAAAACGTATCTTAAATTTGAGAATAACATAATGTACAATTTTTGAGGGACAAAGATCCTCTTGGCCCATTGTGGCTATCATGTACATTTCATCAGATGTTCGTCTGTCTATATCCAGCAAAACTAAGTAAACAATGCTATACAGCTTAGCTTAAAATTTATTTCTGGAAACTTTGATAGACACTTGATAAATAATCTTTAACCAGTAAGTGTAAGGTAATGTATGTGTATTTGAGTGGGATCATATGTTTAATGTAGATAGAAACCCATTAGTAGTGTGACTGAAGAAAAGGATCTTGGCAAAATGGTAGATAAGTCACTCGAGTTATCGAGACAGTGCTCTGTTGCTTGTAGTAAAGGTAATGGATTATAAACATTAATTACAAGTCCACAGACATAAGTTTCTCTAAACAAATCTGTACTTAGGTCTCACTTGAAATATTGTTCAAGTTTCATTCTCCTTATCTAAGAAAGGTTAATGACTTATCAAAAAAGGACTATTAGTATGATTTTGGAGGTGAAAAGGTTATCTAATATCTTGAACCTCTTGTTCTTGAGGAAATAAGGGTAAGAGGTGATGTTATTGAAGTAACTTATCAAAAACGGACTATTAGTATGATTTAGGAGGTGAAAAGGTTATCTAATGAACTTTTGTTCTAGAGGAAATAAGGGTAAGAGGTAATGTTATTGAAGTTTGCAGTATTATGTTGGGGATGGTAGGATCACGGCTTCTGTCACGGTATTATGTTGGGGATGGTAGGATAACGGCTTCTGTCACGGTATTATGTTGGGGATGGTAGGATAACGGCTTCTGTCACAGTATTATGTTGGGGATGGTAGGATAATGGCTTCTGTCACAGTATTATGTTGGGGATGGTAGGATAACGGCTTCTGTCACGGTATTATGTTGGGGATGGTAGGATAACGGCTTCTGTCACAGTATTATGTTGGGGATGGTAGGATAACGGCTTCTGTCACAGTATAATGTTCGGGATGGTAGGATAATGGCTTCTGTCACAGTATTATGTGGAAATTGGTAGGATAACGGCTTTTGTTTTCTTTGTGCAGAATTTTGAAAACACTAGGATGAGAGGACACAAGTTTAAGATTTAGAAAACAACAGGCTAGATGCCATATAAGACAGTTTTATTTTCCTAACGGGATGGTTAACTTATTGAATGAGTTGAGGTGAATAGTAGAGAAGACCAGCATCTTACAAGAGGAAAGTTGATTTTCTGAAAACAAAGTTTAATTTTAGTGTCTGTGGGTAGGGGGACTGTGTGCACAGGAATGACTTTACAGATCAAATGGTCCCTTTTGTCCTTTAGTTATGTCAACCATCTGTATTGACACTGGTTATGAATGCCAGAGGATGATATGCTTGAATTCAGATTATAAATGAGTGTATTACATTCATGTTTGTTTCATACCATTCTAAAGCCATATACAAATATTTTAAAGTAATTTTAATTTTGTTTTTCACTTTATGAAACTAGTTTTTTTCTTTATGAAGTTTTCTTCTAAATGCATTTTGAAATAAGTACATGTGATGTTTTTGAAATAATGTTTCCATTAAACGTTAATAAAATCACAACCTATATCTCCAGAATGTAACTTTATCAGCTCAATATTTTGCTATTACAGCTTCGTCAGGAGCTATCGATATCCTACAACTTCTCTAATCCAGTTAATTCTAAATTGGAACACTGTCATTTGTAAATCTAACATTGATACACGTGTTTAGAAAGTTTGTATTATATTGAAATAATATCAAACGTTCTTGAATTTATATTAAAACAAATCAAATCAACAATGCTAAATAAATAATGTATAAAACAATAAATAAAATATTGACATCGTTGGATTTGGAATAGAATACGTTATGTATCTAAAACATTTATTCATATTTGTATTGGTAAGTAGTTTTCAATCTTCTTATATCAATACATACATAAAATATCTGAACATATATTTCAACCTTTATAAGTGTGTATAGAGATACTACAATTCAAGTCAGGAATGGGGAAGTCACTGCTGGTATTTTCAGCAAGCCATCTACAAAAGCCTTTAGTTTACATTTCTTCTCTCATCATCATCCCTGTTGTAAAAAACAGTGTCATTATTGCCATCTGTATAAAGTTAAGAGAACTTACCAAGAGTTTTATACTAACTTCAACACAATCCTTGTTATTCAATTGGCTTTTAAACTTTTTTCTCTCTCTACAATATATCTTTCTCATCTGAATTATAATTTTCTTCCTTCTTTCATCATCTGTATAATAACCATTTGGTCAACTTTTGTTGAGTCTCTCCATTTATTCATTTCAGTTAATTTCACATTCAACCACTTTCAGTCATGTTTCTAACAGTTTTTTGGATTGGCCAAACTAAACAACGTTAATTGTAACAGAAAACCCAGTCTAAAATGAAGACTATCTCTTTACAATGTATGTTTAAATGTACGTTATTCAAAGCTTAAGAGTGTTAATACACATAATTTTAGTAAAAGGAAAAAAAAATGTTGTTATGTAATGTGCTGATATAAAGCACATACAAAAGTGTTGAATTTTAGTCATGTATTGAGATTAATTTTTATTATGTTATTACAATTGTGTAGATAACATCCCAACCAAAGCAGAATGCCACAGAATGAACATATTGAATTACACCGGAAGAGGTATGGTTACCGTCTGGATTACCATGAACGAAAGAGAAAAAAGGAGGGGCGTAAGCCCCACGAAATGGCAGAGAAGGCAAAAAAGCTTCGTGGTCTTAAGGCTAAGATGTACAACAAGCAGAGGTTTACTGAAAAGGTCCAGATGAAGAAGACGATGAAGATGCATGAGGAAAGGAAAACTAAACAGAAGACAGAAGACAATGTACCTGAAGGAGCAGTGCCAGCATACCTATTAGACAGAGAGGGGCAGTCTCGAGCAAAGGTCTTGTCCAACATGATTAAGCAGAAACGAAAAGAGAAAGCAGGAAAATGGGATGTACCATTACCCAAAGTTAGAGGAGTAAGTGAAGCAGAAGTATTTCGTGTCATCAAAACAGGTAAACGTAAGAAGAAAGCTTGGAAACGTATGGTAACTAAAGTGTGCTACGTAGGAGAAGGATTTACCCGTAAACCCCCAAAATTCGAGCGTTTTATCCGACCAATGGCATTACGTTTTAAGAAAGCTCATGTTACTCACCCTGAACTGAAAGCAACATTTTCTCTTCCAATCATTGGTGTAAAAAAGAACCCCAGTTCTCCCATGTACACTTCTCTGGGTGTGATTACAAAAGGGACCATCATTGAAGTAAACATCAGTGAACTTGGTTTAGTAACGCAGGGTGGTAAAGTAGTATGGGGTAAATATGCACAGGTTACCAATAATCCAGAAAATGATGGCTGTATTAATGCTGTTTTACTTGTATAAAAGTATATCACCATTATATTATGAATGAAATAAAAAGTAGGTTGATATTGAATTGTTGGGCATAATTTTTTTTTTGTTAAAAAACTCATTTTAATTTGGTCCCTTCATTAACTTTGATCAGACCAATGAATCTTTAATGATATTGACAGAATCACAGGATTCAATACGGAATACTAGCCATAACACACCCATATATTATTTGCGTATTTTTAGTGACAACTAGTGACAGCCTAAAATAAAAGGTACTTTCATCTGCTCAGTTATTTTGGTTCCTTGCCTTGAAAATGCAGCTGAGTTAAAAGGATCAGTTAGGTTTGGTGAGCGTGTCTTGTTCAATGTTTACCGTGGATTATTAGGCTGTTGTATGCTTTATTCTAGGACTGTGATGTATAATTTTAAATAAATTATTCTTTGTTAAAGTTTCATTGAGTAAAAAATGAAGAAATTTTTGAAAATGGTGCATGAACATATTTTTACTTACGAAAAGTTTTTAGACTTTTCAATAATGTGAAAACAGATTTTCATCTTTTATACATGCACACTTTTGACTTTTAAGAATCAAGTAAAAATTACTTTTTCGATATAAGTATGTTACTAAGATGTTTAAATTGTTTTTCTTTCAAGGTTCACCAATTTTTTCATCAAGTTAATTATTTAGTTACAAATGGATATCATCATATTGATTTAAAGTAATTAAATTTTAGCCTTCTGTTCAGTCATATAACCAAATATTAGCTAAACTGGTCCATACATTTATCACCTTTCTATTTAACGGATCACACTACAAGTACCTTAAAGGGGTTGATATGGAAATATAAATGGGACCTCCATATGCTAACATTTTTGTTGGCTATTTTTCATTTTGTGCAAAACCATTAGTAACGTTACTTTTCTCAACATCAACACAAAATAAACATGCCAATCTACTCTATAAACCTACAGTTTTGAGATATAATTCCTTCATTCAGTTAAGACAGAATGGATTGCATGACGGTTAAGTTTCTTAGGCTTAGAAGATTTTGCTCACAGCATCTAAAGTGTTTGAATTACTTATTGAAAATAGCTACCTTCAAAGTATATTGTCCAAAACCAATTCAGATGCATTGAACATTTTCCATAAGGATATTCTACATACCAAACCTGAAATGGCAACTACAGATCATATACATTTAGTTATGACCTATTACTCACTTATCTTCTTAATACAATGCATAATTTCCTCAATCACCTTACCACATCAAACATTTAACATTTTCCTCAATCACCCAGTGACATTTAACATTTTTCTCAATCACCCTACTACATCAAATATTTATCATTTTCCTCAATCACCCTATCACATCAAACATTTAACATTCTTCAATCACCCTACTACATCAAACATTTCCCATTCTCCTCAATCACCCTATTACACCAAACATTTTCCTCAATCATCCTATCACATCAAGCATTTAACATTTTCCTCAATCACCCTATCACATCAAACATTTAACATTTTTCTCAATCAACCTATCAAATCAATCATTTAACATTTTCCTCAATCACCCTATCACATCAAACATTTAACATTTTTCTCAATCAACCTATCAAATCAATCATTTAACA